GAGCGACTGTGCACACACACACACACAATGTGCTTATCCAGTATGGAGAACATACGCTCGAGAAGTAGAAAGAGGTCATTCCACATTCTGCCTGGTGCACTGTATGCAAAGCTGTGTGTGTATACATGTGTGCAAACGTGTGTGTGTGTGCATGTGTATGTGCACGCATGCTGTCGGCACAAATCTGCTGGCTTATACCAGGAAAGACCTATTCTCCATTTTCCTGAATGGCAAACTCCTCTTTGCTCACAGTATGTGAGATGAAAATATTATTCTTGTTGCCAATTTCCTTTTGATTAGCTTTGTATCTAGGGTTGCAAGTTTTCCTTTGGACTATTTTTTTCTGATTATTTTCTCACCAGTGGTTAGGAATAGAAATGGAAGGATGCCAGGAAATGACTTATCTGAAAAGGAGTCTTTTCCCCACCCCTAAGTACATGTGCATAAACAGGAAGAAAAACGAATAGCAACTAACTTTTGATTCCTTGGCTAGATTATAGTGTTTTATTGTGCCACTTAGAAGAAGAGTTATGGAAATATATGTCAGAGTGATAGCCAGCTGGCTATCTGAAGTGAGTATCAGCTTTCTGGAAGCAGTAGAGACATTTTCCTGTCATTTTATAACATTTTTTTAGAATTGCCTAACTGCTACAGAGTGTTTCTCTTGCCACAGTGCTGCAATAAAAGTAAACACATACATTTCTAAGAAACAGATTATTAGGGAATTTCTTTGAAGTGTTTAAATAAAGAGCATTTGTTATATGCTCCAAGCGTTTGATTCTTAATTCTTCCCAATAGAGCAGCCTCGTGCCTCTCAAACATCACTTAGTACTGAAGGACTCTAGGGAAATTGAGAGGCATCCGGTGCTGGGCCTGCCCTTCTCTGATAAACTGGAGACCTGGATGACACACCAGGCAGTTACTGTCAGTCACAGGAACACAGGCAGCCAGGACTTTGATCCTTGAGGGAAGAGTCACATGAAGTAAGACCCACATTTGCCCTAGTTTTCTGCTGGAGCACATTCCCTGTTGTCTGCATTCCTTGGTCTGGGTACCAGGAGGGGAAGCCTGTTACAGCTTGGTGGTCTCCAGAATTCAGCGCTGTTGAAGAGGCTGAAGTTTGTATGGCAGGCTACCAGGGAGGAGGGAGCTGTGAGAGGGGAACCCAGAAGCTGAGGAGTGTATCCCTACCGGTTGAGACCTAGCAGAGACCAGCTTCTCCCAGGTGGGAAGGAGAATGGCCCTGGCAGGGGTCATGCAGTCTGGAGAGAAATGGAGAGTTCTGGGTTAGCCAGGGTGGAGAGACCTCATTGAGCCCCTTAACCATTCCCTTGAGACACCAGAAAGACCATGTCTAGGGGTTAAGGGTCATGCATTAGGACTGAGGACATAACTCATAGGCCCATCTTGGCCAATTATAAAGCCAAAGCTGACAGAACTGAGAGGATCTGCCAGTGACTTAGCTGCCATCAGCTCCTTTAACATGTTGTAGCCATGGTAGTGAAGTTCAGGCCAGGCAAGGATCACCGATGAATGCTAAATCTAAGGGGAAATTTGATGAGAGACAAGATGTTTGCATGGTCTGAAAGTATCTCCCCACAGATTACTTATTATAAGGGGAAAAAAAATAAAATTTCTGGGGAGAAATCAGACAGCACTTTGGCTCAGTGATCAAAATTTATATTGCCAGGGAGGGGCACATAGACTTCACATACTTTCAGCTATGACACCAAGAGACGAAAACATCACCTCTGTAGTTTTCTGGATGATAATGCATAAGGTGAATTGAATCATGAGGAAATGTCAGACAAGTCAAAATGGAAATGTTTTGTTAATATAAGAAAAGGAAAGTGAAAGTGAAAGTTGCTCAGTCGTGTCTGACTCTTTGCGACCCTATGGACTATACATTCCATGAAATTCTTCAGGCCACAATACTAGAGTGGGTAGCCTCTCCCTTCTCCAGGGGATCTTCCCAACACAGGGATCAAACTCAGGTCTCCTGCATTGCAGACAGATTCTTTAGCAGTTGCGCCACCAGGGAAGCCCAAGAATACTGGAGCGGGTAGCCTATCCCTTCTCCAAGTGATCTTCCCGACCCAGGAATCGAACTGGGGTCTCCTGCATTGCAGGTGGATTCTTTACCAACTGAGCTGTCAGGGAAGGGGAGGACCATATAGTCCCTTGGACAGCAAGGAGATCAAACCAGTTAATCCTAAAGGAAATCAACCCTGAATATTCATTGTAAGGACTGAGGCTGAAGCTGAAGTTCCAATATTGGCTACCTGATGTGAGAAGAGCCAACTCATTGCAAAAGACCCTGATGCTGGGAAAGATTAAAGGCAGGAGGAGAAGGGGGTGACAGAGATGAGATGGTTGGATGGCATTACTGATTCAATGGACATGAGTTTGAGCAAACTCTGGGAGATGATGAAGGACAGGGAAGCCTGGTGTGCTGCAGTCCATGGGGTCACAAAAGAGTCAAACAAAACTGAGTGACTGAACAACAACAACAACAAATACTCTTCTGAAGTGCCAGTATCATAAGAGATAAAAAAGAGCTATATGTCTCAGATTAACGGCAGCTAAATGCAATATCTTACCCTGGACTGGATCCTGAATTGGAGGAGAAAGAAATGCTGTATAGCACATTATTGGGTTAACAAGATGGTTGTCAATTGAAGTATTGTATCAATATTAGATTTACCAAGATTGATACTAACATTATGGTTATATAAGAATATGCCTATTCAAAGAAATAAATTCTGAAGTATTTAGCGCCATGATGTATGGAACTTTTTTCCACGTGGTACAGACACGAAAAAATGTTGAGTGAATGTAGGTATCTATAGAGAGAGAAAGAGTGAATGATTCTATGTGTTAAATGTTAATAGTAGGTGAATATTTGGGTAAAGAGTACATGGCATTCTTGATATTATTATTATTGTACAACTTTTCTCTACACATGAAATTATTTCCAAAAAGAGAGAGAGAAAGAGAAACAAAGCCTAGCAATTCTATGACTTAAAGAGAAAAAGAAGGTGTGTGGAAAAGAAACATGTGTTTCTTAACTATCTTGTGGATTTTCCACCCTTTGGGTTGTCTTTGGTAAATAAACATTTAATTCTATGGCACTGTCTGTGTCACTCGCCATCTGCTGCTGCTGCTAAGTCGCTTCAGTCGTGTCCGACTCTGTGTGACCCCATAGACGGCAGCCCACCAGGCTCCTCTGTCCCTGGGATTCTCCAGGCAAGAACACTGGAGTGGGCTGCCATTTCCTTCTCCAGTCTGTCACTCAGCAGGCAGAGGCATTTCTGTATCTGTTGGCTGAGAAAGTATATGTAGTACAAGAAGAAATAATAGTGCTACTTTTCAAACTGAAACCATTGTATCATTTGGTGCCATGGAAGAGATTGGAACGAGGAGTCATTTAGTTCGGTTCAATCACTCAGTCGTGTCTGACTCTTTGCCACCCCATGTTCTGCTGCATGCCAGGCTGCCCTGTCCATCACCAACTCCTGGAGCCTGCTCAAACTCATGTCCATTGAGTCGGTGATGCCATCCAAACGTCTCATCCTTTGTCATCCCTTTCTCCTGCCTTCAATCTTTCCCAGCATTAGGATCTTTTCCAATGAGTCAGTTCTTTGCATCAGGTGGCCAAAGTATTGGAGTTTCAGCTTCAGCATCAGTCCTTTCAATGAATATTCAGGACTGATTTCCTTTAGGATGGACTGGTTGGATCTCCTTGCAGTCCAAGGGACTCTCGAGAGTCTTCTACAGCATTTCTCATGATGTACTCTGCATATAAGTTAAATAAGCAGGGTGACAATATACAGCCTTGACGTACTCCTTCCCTGATTTGGAACCAGTCTGTTATTCCATGTCCAGTTCTAACTGTTGATTCCTGACCTGCATACAGATTTCTCTGGAAGCAGGTCAGGTGGACTGATATTCCCATCTCTTGAAGAATTTTCCACAGTTTGTTGTGATCCACACAGTCAAAGGCTTTGGTGTAGACAATAAAGCAGAAGTAGATATTTTTCTAGAACTTTCTTCCTTTTTTGATGATCCAGCAGATGTTGGCATTTTGATCTCTGGTTCCTCTGCCTTTTCTAATTCCAGCTTGAACATCTGGAAGTTCACAGTTCAGGTACTGTTGAGCCTGGCTTGGAGAATTTTGAGCATTACTTTGCTAGTGTGTGAGATGAATGCAATTGTGTGGTATTTTGAGCGTTCTTTGGCATTGCCTTTCTTTGGGATTGGAATGAAAACTGACCTTTTCCTGTCCTGTGGCCACTGCTGTTTTCCAAATTTGCTGGCATATTGAGTGCAGCACTTTCACAGCATCATCTTTGAAGATTTGAATTAGCTCAACTGGAATTCCATCACCTCCACTAGCTTTGTTCTTAGTTATGCTTCCTAAGGCCCACTTGACTTTGCATTCCAGGATGCCTGGCTCTAGGTGAGTGATCACATCATTGTGATTTTCTGGGTCATGAAGATCTTTTTTGTACGGTTCTTCTGTGTATTCTTGCCACCTCTTCTTAATATCTTCTGCTTCTGTTAAGTCCATACCATTTCTGTCCTTTATTGTGCTTGTTTTTAAGGAGTCATAGAGTGTTCAAATTCCTACTCTGATGCTTGCCGGCTGAAGGGTCACTGGAAAGTTCCTTAACCTTGGGAAATTCGGCCACTCCATTTTACAATAATATTTGCCTAGCCTCAGTATCTTACAACTTCAATGCGAAAACACATGTGAAAACTTTTTGTAAATAATAATGGTTTCTTCTACAAACATAAAATTACTATTAATAGCTTAGTTAAATATGAAAATTGCCTTGGACCAAGGTAAAGACTTCCCTTAATTCAGGTGGCCTTTCTTCCTTTTAAATGTGAAGAATGATTGTACAAGAGTGTGTTCCCGCACCTCCCCTCCCCCTCCCCCGCCCCTTTTTGTTCCTTCTGGTTGCCTCATTTCTAATTCCCTGCCTTTATTATTCTAGGCAAAGCTGCAGTGACCAAAGAAGTGGTGTAATTTCTGAATTTCAGGAACAGTGACATAGGAGATGGCAGAGAGCGTATAAAAGGACACGTAAGTCAAACTGAGTGTTTTATCTGTTCTCAAACATCTCATGGATCTGAAGTTCCTCAGAATCTCTCCTGCTTAGTTCTGCAGTGGTCTGTGAGGCTCTGATGGATGGAGGGATCTTTCAGGTCTTCATCCCCAGATCAAAATCAGCCAAGGAAAGGCCAGGGTGGTTTGCAGGAGGAAGGAGAAAGGTTTGAAGGGGCCACTTTTCTTGTTGGAGGCAGAAGGCAACATGGGCCAGGGTGGGAGAAACACATAAAACAAAGGGCACCGGAAACTGTGTCTCTCTGAGTCATTGGAAGCGACAGAAAAAGGCCTTGCCTGATCAAAAACCTTCAGGGAGGCCCCGGGGAGTCATTTCCTCTAATCAGAATTGCCTTGGGTTGTAACTCCTTATCCAGGAAGATTACATTTACCAGGTCTGCTCCTTCTCTGGAGTTGAGGAGTCTAGGCCAGTGCTCCTCAGACATGCGATTAAGAATTTGCCCTAGAACTAAATGTGGAAACTTCTTCACTTCTTTTCAGAGAAAGTCTGTCTACCAAAAGTAAAAGTCATTTGAACTAAACAGTGTTCTTTGTAGTGGTAGTTAACTTCCGTTCTGGCGCATAATGTTACTATGTCCATATATATATCAAACAAAAATTGCCTAGTTTTACTTGTTTATAATCTTGATAAGAATAGTATATTTCATGTGATATTCTGCAGCTTTCATTTTTTTCACTCAGTTGTGTTTTTAAGATTCACTTGTTGCATGTAATAGTAGTAAATGAATTTTTATTGTTAAATAAAATTCTACTCCAAAAATCTATCACAGTTCATCTGTTGCTCCACTTTCTTCTAACATTTGGTGTTTTGTTGCCATTCTAATGAGTATAAAATAGTATACCATTGTGGTCTCAATGTACATTTTCTAATGAATGGCGAGATTGAGCATTTTTTTTTTTAAGTGTCCTTTGGAGAGCAGAGTTTATGACTTTAATGTAGAGAAATTTTTCAGTCTTGAAGTTTTGTTTGTTTTTTGATTTTGTTTTTTGAAAATAATCTAAAAGTCTCTCTTTCAATTATGTTGAGGTTTCATTGCTCATCTTCATTCTTTTTGATTGAAGTTTTTGTTGATTTGTGTTCTCACATATTATATCCTTATGCATTTACTTGGGTTCTTTTTGTAGTTCTTCCTTTTAATATTTACTTCCTTGGAAGGTGGAATCGCTACTTTTAGAATAACTCCCAAGAACAGAGTCATAGTCTATTTTCTGCTAAGGTATCACTTTTCTTTTTACCCAGAATCCTAGATATGTGGATCTCTGACTGAAGAGGCCCTTCTTCCACGTGTGGAGTACAGGAAATAGATATTTACTGCTGTGAATTAGAGGCATCATCTCTGTAGACTTCTGCAGACTTATATTCTGTATCTTCTTAATGGACGTAGAAAGTAGCTTAAAGATTTTGGTCTCTAAAATGTTAAATTGCCTTGTGCTTCGGCACATGGGAAAAAATATTATTTCAAAATAGATGTCAACTGACAGTGCTGATTTAATAGTTTTTTAATTCATTCTGCAACAGAAACATCATCTGTAGGCAATCATACCTTTTCAGAGACCACACAGATTTGATGGGAGTGTGTGGATTAGGATTTTGTATTGACAGTGACATGTTAGGCAGGTTTCTACTCTGCAGAATCTTTGTGCTTTGCAGGCTATAAATTGGATTTTTTAATGTTAGTGTTATCATAGAGAAGGTAGGCACAGAAAACATTCCCGGGGAATGCTGAACTCTGTGATGAGAGATTCTCCAAGGGGCTACCTCTTACTGGACCCATACCTTCACTTGGAAGATATAAATATCAGGTAATTCTGTCTTTTTCTCCCTTGGATAGCAAATTCTAGTGAGTGGTTACTTAGTCTGTGTTCTTATTTGCTTGGTTATTGTTGGCTGTCAGTTCATGGTCTACTGCCATCTTGGTTTGGTTGGCTGAACACTCCAGAAACTTTGTCTGGAGTGCTAGGAAAGAGATGAAGAAGAAATGGAGAAGTTTACCAGGAATGGCCAGTGGCTCCCCGAGGAGATCCTGTCCAGGCTTTGGGCCAGGGAGCCATCATTCTCAAGCACAAACTGCTTGGGTCTGAAAAGGGTCTGATTACCACTTCCCCCAGTTCTGTTGGCCTGGACTGGCCAGTTCATTTGATAGATCAGCAACTGGCCCTTTGAGCCACCCAGTTCTCCTCTTTTAACTATAAATGTATCCCTTGGAAGTGTGTGATTTGAATCATTAGGATGATTTTAATACAGTTCATCTGAATGCAGTTTCTTTCCTGCTGCAAAATTGTGACTCCAGTTGTATCAAGATGGTGCAGAAAGAGAGCTCCAGAATGTGGTCTTTCAAGTGTCATTTTTAGTGAGGGCATCAAAACTAGGGCTTGACAGGCATTGTCGGGACGAGTGAGCATAAACATGAGTTTGCTCACCAGGCCCCGTTGTGTGACCCAGAGCTGTGCTTTGCTTCACGCTCACCGTGCATCTCCTAGACTTCTGTCCTGATCGCGCTCTCTAGACCAGGAAAGGTTCCTCACTGCTCTCTGACTCAACCCTGGAAAACTTAGCTGTTTGTAACATTTTCCTCCTTTCTCACATGACATCATAAATTTGTATATTTCTAAAGAAGGTTCTGCAAAGTAGAATTGTTTTAAACACCTTCTTCTCCAACCTGCCCTCCTTGCTCCTCACCAAATTCGCATCTGAATACTTGTTATTGCGCCCTTTGTCTGGTGCCTGCAAACATGCATCTCGCAATGCGGAGATTGTCCTGGATTAATCAGGAGGCTCAGTGTAGTCAAAAGAATCCTTATAAGAGGAAGACAGGAGTGTCAGAGTCAGAGAAGCAATTACAGGAGCAGAGGTTGAAGTGATGCCGTTACCGAAAGGGGGAACCATGAGCCAAGGAGTGCAGGTAGCCTCCAGAAACTGGAAGATGCAAGGGACACATTCTCCTCTGGGTTCAGGAGGAGCTCAGCCCTGCCAACACCTCTGTTTTAGCCCTGGAAGGCCTGTTTGTAGACTTCTGGCATCCAGAACTATTACTTGTGTCAGTTTAAGCTACCCATTTATAGCCATTTGTTAGAGCAGCAATAGGAATCTAATGCAAATATTTTCTGTTAAAAATTAAAAGTGAGAAATTTAAAAAAAATATTTATTTAGAAATAATAAACTCTTATAGGTTAGCATCAATTACTTTTTTGGGGAGGAATAGCTATTTTTCAACTGTTAGTGAGACAACTACCACTGCTATACATTTTTATAAATCTTTTTTAATGTCTGGCTTAATAGAAAGTACCTGGATTCTCAAATCAGCTTCTGCATTCAGTGTGTGATATCACATGTCATGTAGCCTCTGAAAAACTCCCCTGAATATACGCACAGAGAAAGAGCTTTGAAAAGGCATATACCATCTTAATATTATTATAAAAATAATTTTGGCCTCATGGATTACCTATAACATAGGCCTCTTTGGAAGTACCCTACTTTGAGAACAGCTGGGGTAGAACATAGCCACACAACTATACCTAGTTGCCAAGAGTCTGAGAATTGCAGTTCTTATTTTAGATGCTAGCTTTTAAAAGTGAGGATTTAGAAAGGGACATTAAAGGACATTGATTATTATATATCAAAGTTTGATACCCATGGTAGATAGACAATTGCCAAAACGTTGCTATCCCTTCTCCTTGTCCTCATATTAGCTGGGAGAAATGTCTGCTTAGACTACATCCTTTAGAAATACCTACGATGGAACACAATGGCACGTAGGTGGAGTCATGACTTCAGAGAATTGCATTTTTAGCATTTGTAGATTGATAATATGAAATATCTTTTGTTTGGTGCTCACAGACAGCTTTTGATCCCTTGTTTGGGTCTTTTGAATTTAACAATGCACTTCCTTTCCTTGGGTAGGATTATAGTTGAAATTGAACTTCAGCCTAGCTTTGATTCATAGTTGTCCTTATGGGTTTGAAACTCCCAAGGGGAGTAACATTCCCTCTTGGTCATTTTGTAGATAGTTCCTGCTTCTCCCTGTCAGTATTCTTTTGCTGAAGAATAACCCAGTTCTAGTTTCTGATGTGAAAGAGCAGCTAGGAATATTTGTGCAGAATAGCTTACAGTTTTTAAAAAAAAGTATGTAAATATAGTAAAAACAGTTTGGGGTTCAGTGGCATGATTTTGAGCTTAATATAGTGCTTAATACCGATCTCATTAATTGATAATATGTGTTTAATGCATTTTTTAGTGCTATTCTCATCTTTAAATTGATTATTATAATAGCTTTTGGATAAATAAGGACTTGGAAGATATTTTAACATCCCGAATATGGTTAGTTCAACATTTGGAGTGGGAGAATCCTTTGTATGTTTCACAGGGTTGACTGTCTATTTCCTGACTGAACTGATTGGAAACAAGTTTTGATTTGGGATGGGTGTAGGGAAGAAGAAGCAGAATTTAGAGGCTCAAGCACTTGGGGAAAATGTGTACCTGATGTTTCCTTGGGGAAAATGTGTACTGGCTGGTGGGTACTGTGGACCCCCCAAAAAAAACAAAAACAAAAAAACCTGCCTGTTGTTTTAGTAAAGGATTTAGTAAGGACTGTTGTGGCCATAAAGTCATCAACCACTGTAGCAGCCACCCAGACCTTGTAGCCTGAGGGGAACTCAGGATGGAGAAAAACAGGGTGCTAGCCATCAAACTCTCAGCCACCTGGATGGTGAACAACAAGGGCAATTCAGGATGGAGAAAAACCCGGGATTGGCCCTATAGAGCTAAGACGCTTATCAAAGGAACAGCTTCAAGAAACCCAGACTCTTCCATCTTCCACATACATAAATTAGCCTGAGATGTCTGGATTTTGTGATTAACAGCAATCTTTTGATGTTTAACTAGATTTTTTTTTCCCTGTAGGAAAGATTTCTATATCTCCTGGCTCCTCCCTTATCTCTTGCAAAGAGTTTTTCAAAGC